GTACAATATTTTGTTCACGGAAATAACAGAGGACTAGAAACCATTGTATATATTTGATACGTATATAAAATATGCATAAAATGCTGTTTGAAATTTTAGGAAAACCTTAGAAATGAAATTGATAAGATATTAACAGTAAAGAAAGTGAATTTGATTCAGTCTTGTGCAGTAAACAAAATGTCATTTCACTAGTTAAGTGCTGATTTTAATGAAATTGAAAATCTTTTAAAATTCCTATTTGTGACCTGACTTCCTTATCTGAACACACTTTTTCAAAAGAATTAAAATATGCATAATACAAGCAAAAATTATAATTGCATATCTATATTTATATTAAAATTATATATTTATATATAATTATATTAACATTATATATTAAAATTATAATTGCATAACTATATTTATGTTAAAATATTGCATTTATCTCAATATGAAATTTACTTCCTTTAAAAATTTGTGTAAAAGCTACCACAGTAACTTTTAAAAATAGCCTTGTTAACATAAGGACTATTTTTTAAAACATAAGGACTATCTTAAAAAAATTATTGTGGTAAGCTTTTATACAAATTTTTAAAGGGAGTAAATTCTCCAGTATGATATGCAAGTGGTTAAGAAAACTAAGCCCTGGTGTAAATCTCATTGTTAATTATATTTCTAATTAGAGGAAAGAAAGATGCATGGTAAAGATTTTTCAATTTTTCACTTCTGCAGTGCATTTGATTATTCTCACTGCCAGTGGAATTATTCTTCAATATATTTAATTTTATATTTTAAAATGGAATAAAATGTATCAGAATCCCCTAAAAGAAAACTTTTATAAAACTTCTACTCACTTCCTTGAATTAAGGCTAATATCACAGTTCATAACTGATCTGGAAAATGTCAATACATCACTCATTCTTGTTGGGTCATTCGTCTTTCAAAACTGCTGTTTTTCATTTATTATTCTAAAACACAATTAATACTGCTTACATAGCTACTACTGCTAAAGGTCATATGTGGTTCTCAACACCACACATGGCCATTTAGCAAGACCTGATACTCATCATAGGGAGACTTTACACTGTAAATAGTTCACCTGGCAGAATGTTATAACAGGGGAAAAAAACTCAATGTTTTAAAGTGCATTTTATCAGCAATAGAAAGCATAACTGTTCAAAATGAAAACAAAAATATTATACTAGTCAGACATGTATCATATTGAGTAACTGGTACCACAAATCAAGAGAAACACAGACAGGACATACTGGGTTCATCCTAAGTGTGCTTCCATGTTGGACACTATGTCATTTGGGATATTTAGGCTGCAGAGAAGAGGCCAGGGCTAGCCAACAACCTTCATATACCAACAACAAACACTCAAGCAAATAAGTCCCTAAAACAATTTCAGAGAATGGTGAGTGCTATGAAGGAGATAGAACAGGCTGCAGAGGGAAAGAGAAAGACTAGGGAAGAGAACCTGTTATAGATTTAATTGTGTCTCTCAAAAATAGGTGTTGTAAATCCTAACCCTAAACCTGTGGTTATAATACTATTTGGGAATGGGTTTTCTTCGTTATGCTAATGAAATAGTATTAGTGTAGGGTGTGCCTTAAGTTAATCTTTTGAGATATAAAAGAGCAGATTAAGCAAATAAGCAAGCAGAGATGGGGGAAGATAGATGCTAGGCCACAGGAAGATCACCAAGGAACTGACGAACAGACAATGAAGAGACAAGGACCTTCCACCAGAGCTGACAGGGCTTTTCCCTAGAGCCAGCATCCTGGATTTGGGCTTCTAGCCTCCTAAACTTGAGGAAATATCTGTTTGTTAAAGCCATCCACTTTTGGTATTTCTGTTAGAGCAGCACTAGATAGCTAAGACAGGGCCTTTCTGAATGGGTGATCTTGGAGCTGAGATTCACATGATGAGAAGGAAGCAACTGAATGAAGAGCTGGGGATGAGTACAGTGCAGTGAATTACTTAATATGATCCTTCTACCCATGGTCTGGTTAACTCCCACAAAATGACTGGGTGGGACTATGGAATCTACTCGATGACATGCAACAACATGCAAATAAAACATTTATAGCCCACCAAGAGGATTGGACAGCTTGCTAACTATGCAAATAAGGTGCATGAATCCTTATTGGGAATCGGTTAGTTTTGCGCACTCAGCTAGGCTTAAAAGGAACCAATTCCGGAATTGAAAAGGGGGCCTCACGATCATCAAGAAGAGCCAGGAGTGGATCTTTTGGACCCGGGGTTCCTGTGCTGAGAACCTCCTAGACCCAGGAGACAGAGAGAGCTGTAACACCAGAGATGGTGCAAGATGGCGAGAAACAGTGGCTGAGAAACAGCAGCAGCAGAACCTGGAGACTAGTGCGAGACGGTGTGGTGGGCTTCCTGGCCCACAGAGCGAGGAAGCTACAGTGGGTGTGCCCACCCACGGAGGGAGAGATCTGAGCACCTTTGGGCAGGAGGCTTCCTGATGGAGTAGGGAGATTCCAGGCATTTATCTATGGAAATGAAGAGCTTTGTACCACTTGCTCTAGCAGGGCATTGTCCAGGGCTGAGAGGAGCCTGTCCTGAGGGGGCCAAGAGGAGGCCTGCATGGCTGAGAGAGCTGTCCTGCACTGAAGGGAGACTTTGCCTACATGCTTCCTAATCCTGATCCCAAGTTGTAACCTCTTGATCTTGATCCCGAGTTGTAGCCTGTTACTTCCCTGATAAACCTTATAACTGTGAGTACGGTCTGTGAGTTCTCTGTGGCCACTGCAACAAATTGTCAAACCCAGCAGAGGAGTAGAGTTCTGTGGGAGGGATGGCTGGTGTCGGAACTGGTAAAAAAGTGGGAGAGGAGGCATGTCTGGCCTCCACCTCATAGGAATTAGCTTTGGACTGATGTTGATTCTCTCTTGTCCCCCTGAAGTTTGAGATCTGATGCCACCACACCATTTTTACAGCTCCATACAGAGGGAACTCCTTCTAGCATGCTTGGCACCCTTGAGAAATAGCAAGAAGGATGGAGTGGCTAGGACAGAGTGGACAAAGTGGGGAAAGGTGGGGGAAGAGTCCAGTGAAGCAGTCAAGGGCCAAATCACAGAGGGCTTTGAGGCTATGGTAAGGGTTTTGGATTGCATTAGAGACCACCAACAGGTTTTAAGAATATTTGCTCTTTCTGGTTACTCTCCCTGCTTTGTGAGGTTAAGAGTGAAAGCAAGAGACAGATAAATGAGGAGGCTGTTGCCATAGATTAGGTGAGAGATGATGGTGGTGTGGTAGGATGAAAAATACTCCTCCCCCCAAAAGATATCCATGTTCTAATCCATGGAATCTGTGAATAAAACCTTATATGGCAAAGGCTTGGCAGATTAATTAAATCAAGTGTATTGAAATGGGGGAGATTATCTGGATTATCCAGGTGGACCCTAACTGCACTCTCAAGAGTCCTTATAAGAAACACAAAAGGAGATTTGACACAGATAGAAGAGGAGGAGGCAACGTGACCACAGAGGCAGAGATTGGAGTGATGTGGCCACAAGTCAGGGAGTGCTCACTGCCTGTAGAAGCTGGAAGAGGCAAGAAACTGATTCTCCCCTAGAGCCTGTGGAGGGAGTATGGCCCTGCTGACAACTGATTTCAGCCTAGTGATAATAAACTTCTGGTCTCTGGAACTGTGAGAAAATACATTTGTTTTATCTTAAGCCACCAAATTCATGGTGATTTGTTACAGCAACACAGGAAACTATTACAGGTAGTTTGGGGCAGTGGAGAGGGTCTGAAGTGATTGGATCCAAGACATATTTTTAAGAGATAGGACCAACTGATGTATAGTGTATGTGTCACAAAAGGAGAAGAATCAGGGATAATCCCCAGGTTTTTGGTCTAAGCAAATGGATAGATAACAGCATCATTTACCAAGATGAGCAAGGGGGCACTGATAATTATTACGTGTTGGCCATAGTCATGTTTGAGAAAATATTAACTAGCAGGTATCACTGCTCTGTAAGTGCCAGGTGTTGTTAACATGTATTAATTGTGTTAACTCAGCTAACCATGGAGAGTCAAGTGGGCAGTTAGATATATGAGTCTACAACTGAGAGAGGGCTAGGCTGGAAATACAAAATCTGGGAGTCATCAGGGTCCATGGAACCTAATTAGATTACTCAAAAAGAGAGTTTATGGAGAAAAGGAAAGGAGTCTAGGGCCTGAGCCAGGGGATACTCCCTTTTTTTGTTTTTTTTGTTTTTGGTGGAACAGAGAGGGAGAATCCAACAAAGAAAAGAAAGAGGAGTCAATGAGGAGGGAGGAAAATCAGGAGTGTGCAAATTTCCAGAAGCCAAGCGGAAAAAGAAAGGGTGGCAGGAGCCATGTTGAGAAGGAGGGAGAGATCTACATAGTCAGATCCTACTTTAAGGCAGAAAGGCAGAGAACTGACCACTAGATTTAGCAACATGAGCTCAAGTGACCTTGGGAAGCGCCATTCTAGCGGAGTGGTGGAAAGCTCCACTGAAGTCATTTGAACAGAGATTGGAAGTGAGAAAGTACACACGGAATCTAGGCAAATTATTGGAAGAATTTTAATGGAAAACACAGAGAATGGGCTGTAGCTGGTGGGGGCCTTAGCGTCCAGGGAGGGCTGGGTGGCTGATTCTGCAGCATGTCTCTGCTTGCTGCTGGCAATGAGACGTGGAAATTGAAGGTGAAGTACAAACTAGGAAAAACTGAAGAAGTGATGTCCTTGAGCTGGATGGACGGGCTAGGACTGCAGCACAGGAGGACTTGACCCTCTTTATTCTGTGCCCCCTCACCTCAAGTCTTCGGTTGTCAGGCCCAACTGCCCACCACGGAAGCTACGGAAGAACAACTCCCGTGTCGCCCGGCGAAGCCTGTTTGCAATTGACTCCGAGAACCACGGTTCCTGGCAGGCGGTGTGCGGGGCGGCTAGTGCGCAGGCGCACGCCGCCGCCTTCCGACTCTCCCCTACCACGGCACCGGCCCCAGTTCCGGGCTGGAGCCCGCTAAACGCAGGGGACGGTTTCGTCTTAAAAGAGAAACGGCGGCCGCTCGCGCGAAGTGGGCCCCCTTCCTCCCGTCGCTCTCCAGGCCGTGCGCGGGGCCGCCGGGGGCGCAGCCGCAGTCGGGGTGAGGGCGGGGTAGGGGCGAGCAGGTAAGGTCGGAGTAGGGGCGAGCAGGTAAGGTCGGAGTAGGGGCGGCAGCGGCGGGGACTTTGGGCCGCCTGGGACCCACCTTTGGTATTGGCCTGACCCCACGCATTTATGAGCGTTAAGCGGAGTAGCCAGAGATCGGGTGGGGGGCGCCCTCCGGACACCTGCCCGTCGCAGCTCCGCTCGACCCAACTAAAGAAGACCGCCAGTGCACGTCCGGACAAGACTCACCCCACCCCCCATAAAGTAGTAAAAGCAGGATATCCTCAAGAAGAAATGTACGCAGTCTTCCAGTTAAAATCGCCCCTCTTCCCAGTGAAAGTCTCAAGCCCCTTCCCCACAGCTCTTGTTTGTAAATTTTATTGGTCCCGAGGGCTCAGGCGTTTGTTCGAACTTTGACCTTGCCCACCGTCTCCCACCCCACGACACCCACTCCACAGCGCTGAATTTACACACCCTGTAATACAAGGAGGGGTGGTTTGGGCCCAGTTGCAGCTAATGCTATTTAAATATTTTAGCCCTGCCCCATTTTACTGATGAGAAAACTGAGGCCTAGAGAGGCGGGGTGGAGCTCAGGTCTCTGCCAGTCCCCGGATCAGGTTGGCCCTGATGGCGCATTTCCTCCAACCTCCAGGTCCTGTAGCATGGCTTCTTCCCCGGCGGATGCCTCCCGCAGGCAGCGACGGGAGAAGCGGAGGCAGCTGGATGCCCGCCGCAGCAAATGTCGAATACGCCTGGGCGGCCACATGGAGCAGTGGTGCCTCCTGAAGGAGCGGCTGGGCTTCTCCCTGCACTCGCAGCTTGCCAAGTTCCTGTTGGATCGGTTAGGGGCGGGGGAAGGAAGGGGTTCCTTGGGAGGGCGCCCATTCAGCAGCACCCAGGCCCCCTCCCCAGGGCAAGTTCTGTCCCGCTGCTCCTTCGGGCCTGAAGATTTCTTACTTCAGCAGGATGGCCTGTGTAAGGCTTTCCCAGGTTCCTGCTCCCTCCTGTGGTCTCTAACGAATAGAATGGAGGGCCCTTACGGTTGGTCCCTTAAGTATATGAGTGCCTATGGCTGAGGGCATTTGGCCAACTGAGCCCCCACCTGACCTGTCTCCTTTCCTAATGGCAGGTACGTTTCTTCAGGCTGTATACTCTGTGCAGGTAGGTAGGGGATACATGAGGGATAGGGAAAAAGGGTGGACAGAAGTGCTCAAGGTGTGTGTGTAGGGAGGGTAGGGGCTTAGGAGTCAGAGAGGAAGAGGAGCAACAGGGAGTGGTGTGCCCTAGTTACACCCTCCACCAGGTGGATGGGTCAAAGGGAGCTGTGAGTTTGGGAGGGTGGGGAGTTGGGGAGCCCAGGATAGTGTGATGGGCAGCCTGTGGGGAAGGGAGCAATGTCTCAGGATCCTTGGAGGTCCTGGGCTCTGAAGAATGGTAAATGGAGGAGGAGGGGGCAAGGGTTGCTCAGGGGGTTGTAGGCACAGGAGGACTGTCTAGGTGTGGAGAGTGTCCAGGGTGAGTGGAGAGGGCCTCCCAGCTGGGCCTAACTGCCTCCCCCATCCCTCCAGGCCCTGAGCCTTCACCCCCCAAGGGGCTGCAGTACCTTGTACTCCTGTGTCATGCTCACAGTCGAGAGTGCAACCTGGTGCCAGGGCTGCGAGGGCCTGGGGGCCGTGATGGGGGACTCGTATGGGAGTGCTCAGCAGGTCACACCTTCTTCTGGGACCCCTCTTTGGGCTCCACACCTCCAGAGGTACCCAGGCCAGTCCCCCTTCGATGCTCTGCCCGGAGACGCTGGTGCTCAGAGACCAGGAGTGGACAGGAGGAGCCTGCAGGTAGGCTGGGGGAAAGAAGAGTTGTAGAGGAAAGGGAAGAAAAAGTCTCCTATCTTCTGTGGCCTGCAACCCCATTATCTAAAAATGATCTTTTCTTAATGAAAAGACTCTGCTAACAAGGAAATATATCCCCAAATATATTATTAGGTATAAAAAACAAAATTCAGAATAGGATGTATGGTATGCTACCATTCGTGGAAAATAAAAAAAGGGTGAAAGAATATATTCTTGTATGCACTTGTGAATCTATAAGATAGCTCTGGAAAGACATGTAAGAAACCAGGTTGCCTGTGGGAAGAACTAGGTGGCTGGAGGACAGTGTTGGAAAGGAGACCTTTTTTTAAAAAAATTTGGTGAAAATATATACACAGCAAAACATACACCCATTCAACAATTTCTACATGTGCAATTCAGTGACACTGATTACAGTCGTCCAATTGTATCATCATTCTCACTATCTCTACCTGAATTATTTCATCACGATCAACTTAGACTCACTACTCCCTAAACTTCTCATCTAGACTTTAGAGTTACTGTTGTCAATTTGATCTCAAATAGATCATTCTTTACAGAAGCCCAACACGCAAGGCAAACATTTTTACTACTTGGGTTAAACTGTTGTTTGGGTTAAAGATGACTTCAGGGGATAGTTATGGTTCAGAGTTTAAAGATTATCTCAGGGCAATAGAACTGGGGTTTCCTCCAGTCTCAATAGATCCAGTAAGTTTGGATTCCATAGGTGTTTGAAATTTTGTTCTGTGTTTTCCCCCTTTTGATCAGAATCCATCTATTGAGTCCTTGATCAAAACATTCAGTAATGGTAGCCAGGCACCATCCAATTCTGGTCTCATGGTAAAGGAAGGAATAGTTCATGGAAGCAGTTAGGTCTTCAGTCAAGTTCCTTCTCTGATTTCTGGGTCTGGAAAGGAGACTGTTTGCTATGTACCTTTTTATGCTTTTATTTTTTTGAACTGTGTGGATGTATCATATCATTAAATAAAATTCCCACTCCCACTTTAGTAGCCTCTGCTCCTTCCTCCTCCTCCTTCCTAAGAGTCTCCCACCATATCAAACCTTAGAACTCCACCTGTCCTTATTCCTTGAGCCCAGAGTTCCTTCCCCTTTGACCCTGCCTGTGCCAACAGGTTTAGAATCTGACGATGGTGAGAGGACTCAGGAGTCCAAGTTGCCAAGGTGAGGTTCTAGAAGGGGGCAGGATAGACCTGGATTGACAATGGAAGTAAGGAAGCAGGACTTCAGCTTTGCCTTCCTTGGCCTCCAGGGCGGTAGGACCCCCACCAGAGACTTCCCTGCACCCAGGCGAGGAAGAGAAGGAGGAAGAGGAGGATGAAGAGGATATGCTCAGTGATGCCAGCCCATGGACCTACAGCTCCTCCCCAGATGAGCAAGTGGGGGCTGAGGAGGGATACTGAAGAGAAGAGAACAGGAGGGAGGAGGCAGCTGGCTGAGGAATCCAGAGCTTTGCAGACATGAGGGGTGGGCTTTTTTGTGGGAGAGGGGTCAAGGTGGGCTTTGGGCAAGACAGAAGGAACTGGAGATTTTGAATTGAGAGGTGGAATAGGGTGAAATCAGAATCTGGGGGAGACTGAAAGTTAAAAGTAGGTGTAAACAGAGAGCCTGGCGTGTGGATGGGATTGTTTGGAGGTTGGGGATTTAGGGGCCGGGGTCTGGGAGAGCCTGGGGCTGGTTTGAAAGCTTGGGTAGATAATGCCCTCCTCCTCTTTGTTCTCCTTTCAGCAGTGAGCCAGATGCCCCCAGGTCCCCAAGACCACCTCCTGCTCCTCTCCCCCACTCCCTTAAGGAGGAAGATACACCACCTGCCCCCTCAGACCGCCCCAATCTGCCGGCTACACCATCCTCTTCAGTATCCTCACTGGGTTCTGGACTTCCTCTGACTGTGGAAATCAGGATACAGCCAAATCTCAGCGGGACCCCTCAGGTGGCCCAGGAGACTGAGCCCCCGGCTAGGTAACCTGATGGCTGAGACAGAGAGGGCAGGGGAGTCCTGGGACATGGCCCTTCCTTGAGCCCCTCTGCTCCCCTGTTTGCTGCCCATAGCCCTGGGAGTCAGACCCAGTCAGCTCCAGCCCCGGCCTGGGATGAAGACACTGCACAGATTGGCCCCAAGAGAATCAGGTAGGACTGGGGGGTAGGGGGTTCTGGGGAGAAGGATAAGAGGAAGGAGGCAGAGGAGAGTGGGCAAGACTCTTCCTGTTCCTCTCCATTCTCTTCCCCCAGGAAAGCTGCCAAAAGAGAGCTTCTGCCCTGTGACTTCCCTGGCTGTGGAAAGATCTTCTCTAACAGGCAGTATTTGAATGTGAGGGGCACAGGTTGGGTTCTGTGTGTTCACTGGGGTGAGGGAGAGAGGATAGGGCCTGAAAGAGAAACTAAGGAAAAGGAGTTGAAGGTGTGGAGGGATTTGGAGTCAGAAAGAAAAGAGTTGAGGTAGATAGTCAAAGCTTTTCTGAAGTTAATAATGAAATGGTTGTTTCACTAAACCAGACAAGTGATAGATGGGAAAGAAAAACCAATCCTCAACTGCACAAAGCCATTGCCCAGTACTGTTTATGACGTGGAACCTCAGAATTACACACAGATATGACAACAGCATTGATCAAGCTCTTATGGTGTGCTAGTGACTGTTATAAACACTTTGATCCTCAGAACGTCCCTATGGAGTACCCCATTGCCATGGAGTCGATTCCGACTCGTGGTGACCCCATATATTACAGAGTAGAACTGCTTTCATAGGGTTTTCTTGGCTGCAATCTTTTACGGAAGCAGATCACCAGGGCTTTCTTCTGTGGTGCCACTGGGTGGGTTCGAACCACCAATCTTAAGGTAAGTAGTTGAGCACAAAGCATCTGTGCCACCTAGGGACCTCCCTATGGAGTAGGTGCTGTTACTGTTCCTGCTTTATGGATGAGGAAACTGAGGCAGATAGCATAGTGAAGCAATTTGACCACAGTTCCTCAGCTAGTATGTGGTAGTGCAGGGATTCTGAACTTGGCAGCCTGGCTCCAGAGTCCACAGTCAGGTGGCCTCACCATACTTGCCAAGTGGATGGTCCTAGAGTGGGAAGGACTGGGAGATGATCCTGTCCTAAACCTTATTGCATGAGAGGTATGAGGCACAGGAGAGGGATGAGGGCCCAGCCCCACAGTCAGCTAGAGCCCTTGACAGGGTAGGTCTTGAGGCTGGGGGAAGGCACCAGACCAGAGGGAGGGGTGGCGAGGCATGGGTGGGTGGGAGGCGGGGAAACTCTGTGTAGAGAAGATGATGTAGAGAGGAATTGAATAGGAAACGGGGGGAATGTCCCTGTATGTTCCTGAGTGTCAATGAAGCTCAAGGCAGGGAAGATCTGGAGGAGGCTGAAGCAGCCCCAGTGGTTTAACTATGAAAAAAATGTTATGGAGAAGGGGAAAGCCCATGCTATTTAGTAAGCCAGGATGTGAAATTACATCAGGTAAAAAGATAAATACTTTCCATGCTGGGGAGGTACGGTTGAAGAGCCCTTAAAAGTGTACTAGGTTGAGAGTGTGTGTGTGTGTGTGTGTGTGTGTGTGTGTGTACATGTGTGTTTCCAAAGGAGATTTAGGAGTAAATCATACAATAATATACGCATAGTGAGCTATTAATGAAAAGTAGGTGTCTGGGCGATATATTTTGTACATTAGGACTGATAATGAAGGAATAATTGTGCCAACAATAATCTGTATTGTTCTCCCTTCCCATCCTGGCAGATAGCAAATCCATGGCTAGGTAAACCAGAAGTGCCACCCAGAGCAGTCCTTTGCATAGGGAACTAGGCATTGCAAGATAAGGATGTGGCAAGGAAGGGACATAATGGAAGTGAGAGCAGAATAGGGTGAAGGGCAAATGGGATCAGGGTGCACATGATAGAGATGAGGACTGGGCCAGGGTGACATGAACTTCTGGCCATGATGGAGAACTGCTGGGGCACGGTATTCTAGGACGGGCAGGCAGAGAAGCCCACCTACTGTGTAAGCTCTAGATTGCGGCCCTGGGGAGTGCAGCTATCCTTTTTCCTCTTTTCCTCTACTACCTGCTTCCTTCCCTAGCACCACAAGAAGTACCAGCATATCCACCAGAAGTCCTTCTCCTGCCCAGAGCCGGCCTGTGGGAAATCTTTCAACTTTAAGAAACACCTGAAGGAGCACATGAAGTTGCACAGTGGTGAGTGGTAAAACTGCCACCTTCAGCTCCTCCCCTGTGGGTTCCTAGACATCTTGTTCATTCGTTCATCCGTCATTCCTTGTGTTGAGCACCTGCTTGAGACTCTATTCTAGGTGCTGGGAATACAGCAATTAACAAACAGTCCCTAACCTTCATGAGATTTCCATTCTAGTGATAAAGCTCTGTGATGAAATGTAAAAGCAGGATAAGGGAGTAGAATGTGCTCTTGTAGAAAAGGGAAGCTCTTTGAGCAAAGACCTAATTGAAGTGAGGACTTGAGGCCTGTACATGTCTACAGGAGAGTGAGTGGAAAGGTCCTGAGGTGGGATCTGCGTGGTGTGTTTGAGGAATAGGGAGGAGGTCACTGAGGTTAGAAAGGAAAGTCTGAGATAGGTGATGGGGACCTCAGAGACCATTGTTAGGATGACTTGGCTTCTACTCTGAATGAGATGGGTACCATTGGCAGGTCTTGGGCAGTGGAGGGACGTGACCAACTTTTAAAAGGGTCACTGTGAAAGAAAAAAAAAAGATCACTGTGGCAGCTGTGTAGAAAATAGACTGCAGGTGGCCAGAGGCAGACAAGGCAACTGCAGAGATATCCCTGTTTAAGATGAGCTTGGACTCACTTAGCAGTCCAGTTGGTAAGAAGTGACTGGAAGCTGACTGGAGTGTGAAGCTGGGACCGGAAGAGTTGTTTACTGCCAGATAAGATGGATTGGCTACGGGTGTGAGGGGAAAGAGGATTCAGGGTTGATTCAGAGGATTCTAGCCTGAGTAACTGGGCAGAAGGTGATGTGATTGACTGAACATGAGGGGGAGAAGCAGGCTTGGGGAGAGGGAACTTCGATTTGGGACATGCTAGTTAGATATTCAGTGGGAGAAAGACCTGGAGATCTGCCCCCGTAAAGATTACAGCCTAGGAAACCCTATGGGGCAGTTCTACTCTGTCACATGGGGTCGCTATGATTTGGAATCGACTCAGTGGCACCTAACAACAACAACAATTAGACATCCAAGGAGAAATGTCAGGTAGGTAGCTGAGTACATGAATCTCGAGTTCAGGAGGGATGTCAGGCAAAAAATGTAAATGTGCATCCTGAGCATATGGATGCTATTTGAAGCTGTGGGAGTGGATACACTCACATAGGGAGTGAGGGCACATAGACAAGAGGTATGAGTGCAGCGCACCCACCGTTAGTGGGCAGGAAGAGGAAGGGTAGCCACAGAGAGAAAAAGGAGGAAGGAGTGGAAAGTGGTGTCTGAGAAGCCAATGTGAAGAAATGTTCCAAGAAGGAGGGAGAGGTGAGCTGTGTCAGTGCTGTAGGACTGAGTAAGAAGAGGATGAGAATAGGCCACTGGACGGGGCAAGGTAGAAGCCATCCTTGACCTTGACAGGATGGCGCTGACAAAATGAAAGCTATAATGGAGTGGGTTCGGTGCAGGGTGGAGTTGAAGAAGTGGAGAAAGCAAGTATGGACAGCTCTTTTGGAGTTTTGCTGTGAAGATGGACAGAGAAATGGAGTCTTAGCTGGAGGACCCTGAGCTAGGGGCACAGAGGTGAGGATGATTCCATAGAGAGAAAAGGCTTGTTGATGGTAGGGTGGAGTAGAACAGTCTCCTTGAGTTGGTTAGAAGGGCTGGATTTCGGGGCACAGTGGAGGATGGCTTCAGGGGAATAGTGGGGTGTTATGTATATGAGTACAGATGCAGGTTGGCTGGTGGATTTGATGGTTGGAGGATGTGGGAGTTCTCTCTTGGTTTCTTTTCTTTTCCTGGTGAGTTAAAAAACATGATCACCAACTGAGTGAGGATGGTGGGGTGGGGGTGTTGGAGTCTTATGGAGAGACGTGATGTGAAATGGCCTTCTAGACTCCAGAGTGTGGGAGAATGAATTGACCAGGGAAATGTCGAATCATGTAGACTTGTGGTTATGGATGTAAGGAGACGCCAGTGGCAGAGTTGTGAGATGTGCTTCTGCCCCCCTCAGCGCACACATGCCAGCCTGGAGCAGACCAAGGGTTATGTTTATCCTGAGTTGGGGTTTAACCAAGCAGGTGCAACAGAGGTCAGGTAAACTGGTAGTGTAAGTGAAAGGATGGCTACAGAGGTGGGCCATGGAAATGGAGCTGGGCGAGAAGGGTAGGGAGGACAGGAGGGTGTCAAAGACAGTGAGGAGGTGTTGGGAAGGTGGTGGGGGCAGATGGATTGGCAGCATGGCAGTCATGGGATTATGTCGTGGGACAAAGTAGGAGGCCCTGGCTGGAACTGGGATGTTTCACATTACAATTTCAGAGCTGGTGCAGTGATGGGCTGTACAGTCCATATGACCTGGGAGTGGTAGCTGAGGTAGAGTGGGGCACGAGGTCATTAGAGGTCAGGGAGCAGAAGGATGGAGTGCTGGGTGTATAAAAACAAACTACAGCAGGAGTCCTCGCAGAGGAGAGGGCGTGAAGCCAGAGTTATATGAAGTGATCAAGATGAAGGTGGAAGGCTGTAGCAAGGGTGTGGGGTACAGTGTGGTCTGATGGCCCCTGTCAGAGCTGAGGGTCTACAGGGAGGTCTGAGGGTCTATGAGAAGCAAGGAGTCCTCCTGTAATGCAGGCCTTGAGGGGTGTAGGAGAGTAGCCATAGCAGGCACATGTGAGAGCTGAAGAAGCAGTGACCTTGGGTCATGGGCAGGAGCTGTTAGAGCTAGCAGGGGAAGGGCACATTCAGGGATGAGGTACAGGAGAGGGGATTTGGCTGATGACCTAGGGAGTTCCATGGGGCACTGTGCAGGCTGGGGAGGGGTGGGAGATGGGAAAGAAATATGCAGGCCTGAATGGGGAGAAGATTAGAGGTGCCAGGGAATGGCCTTGGGGGTTGGACTTAATCCTAATTGCTACCTCTGTCTCCAGGGTTCCTCCTGGTGCCTTCTGCTCACACATTAAGGACCCAGCTCTCCATCCCTTGTTATCTCATTTGACAAAGATCCAGCTAAGGGACCTAGATGCAAGGTGGTGCACCTCTGATGAGGCTTGGGTGGGGCTTAGATAACAGTGATACTGAAGTCTTTTAGATGGTGTCCTGCTTTCTGTTCGTATCTCATTTGATTGTCATGACTGGTTAAGTAAAGGAGGTTCAGAGATTTGCCCAAGGACAACAGCTAATTAGAACTCAGGCCTCCTGACCCCCAATACTGGTGCACTGCTGTAGGGATGGTGGGTAGGTGGGCTGAGGAGGGACCGCATCCTGTGGACAGATGCTGGGGTGCCTCCCTGTGCCTGCAGACACCCGGGACTATATCTGTGAGTTCTGTGCTCGGTCGTTCCGCACCAGCAGCAACCTTGTCATCCACCGACGCATCCACACTGGAGAGAAACCCCTACAGTGAGTGCTGGGAAAAGGGCCTGGGGGCCAAGGGACCATGGGTGGAAGGGGCTGCCAGGGAGACAGGCAGGGCACCCAGGCCCCAGGGGAACAGGAAGAACTCCTGGGGAAGTCAAGATGGCTTGAGGCCCCTTCCTTGCCCTCCTCTGCCCCTGGTTCCAGGTGTGAGATCTGTGGATTCACCTGCCGCCAGAAAGCCTCCCTGAACTGGCACCGGCGGAAGCACGCAGAGACAGCGGCTGCCTTGCTCTTCCCCTGTGAGTTCTGTGGCAAGCGCTTTGAAAAGCCAGACAGCGTTGCAGCCCACCGCAGCAAAAGCCACCCAGCACCACTCCTGGGCCCACAGGAGTCATCTGGCCCATTGAATCCCTCTCCCAGCATCTCTATTCCTGGGCTTCTGGGGTCCACTGAGGCCCCAGGGGCCATGCAGCTAGGGGCCAGGCCCTCCGTGTCTCCTCAGGCTCAGGCCCTGCTCCCTCAGAAATGAGCACTTCCTCCCAGGCTTTGGGGAGCCAGATCCCAGGGACTTGAAGGGAACAAGGAGAGTAGTCCAGAGAAGCACCAGATGCCTGGGTCCCCAGGAACTAGGGCTAGGAGGAGTTCCAAGTGAAGTCCTGGGGAAGTAGGGGAGCTGGACTACTTTAGCGTACCTGAAGGACATAATAAATAGTATTTTGTGTGGGCATGTGTGGCCCGAGTGAGTGTTTTGTGCCTGAAGCACAGGAATCCTAACTGAAAGCAGGCTTTGTAGAACGTGCCAGAGTGGCATGTAGGTGTGTGTCCCTGGTCCTCTCCCTGCAGGTCCTTTGCCTGCCCGCCCTCCACTCACTCCGAAGTCCCCAGCTTGCTTTAGGGACTGTTTGGCACTTTGCAGCCCTTTCCCAAGGAGTGTCAACCCCACTCTTGCACTGAAGTAGGGCAGACTGTAACAGTCTGACGAGCTTTAAGTCTCTCCAGGGTGGAGCAGGAAGAGAAAGGTATGTGATTCTGGGCCACATCAGTGGTTGCCACTCACCAAGAAAACCAGACATGTAAACCCTGAAGAGGCTTACCTTCCAGTGCAGAAATGAGGGGCCCTGCATGCAAGGAGATCGCTGAGCTATCCTGGGAAGAGAGGAGAGGACTTGGAACTGCCAAAGCAGCTGGCTCTTAGACCACTTCAAAGTCTGCAAAGACCATAAGCTTCAGGTTTCACAAAAGAAGCTCTTGGCATCAGGAACCAAAACAAACAGCTCTTTATTTCACCAGCCATAAGCAAAAAGTCATTAACCAATTCCAGGGGATTTTCCACTCTGCCCTCTCCCCTTTGTGGAGTATGTTTCACCATAAACAGAGACCCTGGCTCCAAGCTTGAGCTAGAAATAATATTCTGATGTTCTACCTGGCAGTGCCCAGCCTTGTGGACCCACTTGGCTTGGCCTGGGGCCCAGGCAAATGTCAGCCTTCCCCCACCTTGCTGGAGAACACTGTCCTGAGAGAGGCATCTCCAGTTAAGACACCATGGGGACAGGTGGGTAGCCATGCTGAAGGGTGCCTGCCTACCTTCACACTGGTGGGCCACCTCCACCAGGCACCAGGTTGGGTGCTTCTGATGAGACATCCTTCATTGAAGTGATCTCTCTGCCTCCCAGATTCCCACCTTGACAACCCACCTGTCTCAAAAACTGAGAAAGTAGCAGAGACTGAAAGTCATGTGGAAGCAAGAAAACCAGAGGGTGGTGGGATTTGATCTTGGAGCCACACCTGTGATCATTAGCTGGAGAGACAGCAGCCAAAGAACCAGGAGAGGCAGTGGAGATGTAGGCTGGAATTAGGAGATGGGACAAGAGGAGACAGCACACGGTGGGAAAACAGGAAAGAAACACAGGAGAGCACAGCAGCGATGGGCCACACCAATGCCGAGCCCTCTTGTTTGCTTGGAGTCTGAGAGGTTTTCCCTGATTCCCTGCACCTACACTCCGGAGGAAAAGAAGCAGGGCAGTGAAGACTGAGAACATAAAAGAACTGACAGGAAGGCCAGGTTAAGGGCAACCAACAGATAGGAGGAAAGGCAGCAGGCCATCCATCTTTCCCCAAACCCTGGTCGGCGAGTTCCCCGTGTCCCTAGTGGCAGTTGTGGGTAGTTATCCAGCGCCCTTGAGACAAGCCTCTTAGCACTTCTGCCCCAACTGCGACACAAAGAGCCCCTGCTTTTCCTGTCCAGCCTCCCCTGTAAAGACGAGGGGAGCGCCCGCGGAGCTAACGTCGGCGGCAGCCTCCGCAGTGGCAGCCCTGGCAGCAGCGGCGCGGGCGCGCATGTGGGCCCGCTGGTGCTGTGACAGTGAGCGGCTGTGGCTGAAGCACTTGCCACACTCGGCACACTCGGCTGGTCGCTCGCCCAGGTGCGTCTTGCGATGCAGCGCCAGCTTGGAACCGACGCTGAAGGCCTTGCCGCACTCTGGGCACTTGTGTGGCTTGTGGCCAGCGTGGTTGCGCCGGTGCACGTTCAGGTTCGACACGCACGTGAAGCGCTTGCCACACAGCTCACAGCGGTAGGGCTTCTCGCCCGTGTGCGTGCGCTGGTGCTTGCTGAGGTCTGAGCGGTCGCTGAAGCGGCGGCCACACTCAGGACACGGGAAGGGCCTTTCCCCCGTGTGGATGCGTTGATGCACCACCAGGTCGGAGCGCTGCCCAAACCCCTTTCCGCACGTGGCGCATGTGTGCGGCCGCTCGCCCTGGTGGCTGCGCCGGTGGCGCAGCAGAGTGGAACTCTCACTGAAGCAGCGCCCGCAGTCGCTGCACGCGTATGGCTTCTCGCCCGTGTGTGTGCGCTGGTGGCGCACCAGCGTGGCGCTCTCCAAGAAGCCCTTGCCACACTCGGGGCACCTGAAGGGCTTCTCGCCCGAGTGCGTTTGCAGGTGTCGCGTCAGCGTCGAGCTCTTGCTGAAGCTCTTGCCGCATACGCCGCACTGGTGACCGTCCGGAGCGCGCGGCTGCGGGCCCGCGGGATCGCCGGGGCTCCGGGCCGCGTGGACGCGCGCGTGGCTCCGTAGCCCTGCGCCGCTACGGAAGGCCCGCGGACACTGTGCGCAGCGGTGTGGCTGGTCGGCGGGAGCAGCAGGTGCCCCCAGCGGGTGCGCCCGAGCCTCGTGGAAGCGCAGGGCGCTCTGGCGGAAGGCGCGGGCGCACAGAAGACAGCGTTGAGGCTGCTCAGGAGGGTGCCAGCGGCGCCGGTGCAGCAGCAGCGCTGGGAGGTGTGGGAAGCGGCGGCCGCAGGCACGGCAGGGGCAGGCGCGGTTACGCCGCCGGTGCGCGCCCTGATGCAGGTCTAGACGGTCACTGTAGCGGAAGCTTTGGCCGCAGTCGCTGCAAATGTACAGCGTCTCGCCGGCGTGAGCGCGCTTGTGCGCGCGGAGGTCGGCGGCCCGTGCACAGCGCTCCCCGCAGTCGAGGCAGCGAAAGCGGCCGTCGTCGCCATGAGCACGCTCGTGCCGCATGAGCACGGAGCTATAGCGGAAACTCTTGCCGCACTCGCTGCACGTGTACGGCTTCCCCGCCTCCGCCCCTGATGCAGCGAACATGGCGAGGACCTGGTGTCCGCGGCGTGCAGGCTGGGGGCCGGGCTGGCAGGGAAGCTTGCCGCTCAAGCTTTGGGTTTCGCCTCCTCGGAATGCCGACAATTTTCAGTTTTCTTACGGCCTGGAAAGGGAGTGGTCTTGGAGGGAAGAAGGGGAGGCCTCCAAAGCTGGTCTGTGGATTCCAGGGTTCCTTCTCCCACGGGCAAGGCACTGTTTCAGAGGAAGGCAGCCGCCAGCTTCGCCCTGCCCTGTGAGCCCTGCGGGGAGAAGGTCACCGTGGGCCCCAGCAACAGCTATGCATTGGGAGGTGGGGTGGGGGACATTTCAGCTAGGCTATCTTCCAGTTCCCTCCTCCAAGCGAAAAGCCATGGGAGGTCCCAGAAATATGGAGCGGGGAATCCTTGTGCCACCCCGAAGGGCAAGAGGAACAGACTGTGTCACTGGAGAACGGTTTCCATCCAGCAGCAGCAGCCATTAACACTGCTGGGAGGAGGATTGCCCAGCCTATTTTCTGTCCTTAGACCTGGGATCCTGGCCTGGGGACAGCATTGGGAAACCACCAAGGAGAAACAGGGCTACAAGAAAGCCCCTATGTCTAGACCACACCAACACCTTCCTACAAGACCCAGGTTTCCTGAGTCACCAAAACGAGCCCAGCCTGGCCTTGGCTGGAAGGGCAAGGCAGGCAATGAAATGAAGCACACATTGGTCGGGCAGCAGCCTGGGCAAAAGGCTCAGACCCTGACCGTTACTGGAAGGGGTACTAGAACGGGCTGGGACGTGGGCAAAGGAGGATATCCTGGAAGCCCCAAAACGTTGTAGGCAGCGGAAGCGGCCGTCGCTGCCCTGGGCGTCCTCACACCACATAAGCACCGAGCTATAGCGGAAGCTCTTGCCGCACTTGCTGCGCATATAAGGCTTCCCCGCCGCCGCCCCTGATGCAGCGAACGTGGCGAGGACCTGGAGCAAAACATTGTTCCTTGGCTTTGGATGAAATAAAAAAAACCCGTTGCTGCTGAGTGAATTCCGATTCATAGCTACCCTATAGGACAGAGTAGAACTGCCCCAAAGGTTTCCAAGGAGTGGCTGGTGGACGTGAACTGCCGAACTTTTGGTTAGCAGCCGAGCTCTTAACCACTGCACAACCAGGGCTCCTGGCTTTGGACACTACCCAGTAAATAATCACCCCACATTAGTACACAGCCCCAAAGTTCCTTAGCCCAGCCTTGAGAAAGCAACTCAGGATAAAGCCAGGGAAACGTGAGAAGAAAGCATGGATAATTCACAAAGAATATTATTAAAGGTTGATGCCAAGAAGTGCTTTTCAATTTTTAGGAGAAAAGAAAGGGGCCTCCCCTTGTAAAGGTATTCAGGTTGTTTGCTGAACATTCTTCAGGCTTTCCACTGTCCCAGCTCCAGGGATCTGAGAACAGGAGTATTTGGTCCCCTTTATGGGGACCAAATCTGCTCTATCCTGTTTATCTCAAATACTTATCAGAAATCCTTCTGACAAGTTGCTCCAGGCAGCTGTCTGGAAGCCAGGTCAGCCTGTGTCTTAGTGGACAGGACTTCCCATGCCCTCAAGTAACAGCACAAATGTGGCTGCCCTTCTCACCCTGGTTGTTTCCCTCAAGGCCTCACAGATCTGTCCCAGCCCAATTCAATGGAACACTGGAGATTAGGTATAGTTGCTAGTTCAGTATAGTCCTGTGTCACCCAACAGATACGGGAGAGGACGCAAAACAAAATGGTCAGCAGCCATTTTCTCATTAGCAGATGGAAATCCATCATGAATACTCAGAGCTTTGGTTAAAACACCCCAGGGGTGGGGTCTTCGTCTTTTGGATGCCAAAAAGGTCAACTGAAAAATCCTTGAAAACCAAACCTGCAGGGGTGAGGTCTGGAGCTTCTGCTCCCCTCCACCCTGGGCAGGAGTGGCCACCATAGGACATGCTTCTCTCATGCCTCTGAAGTGGGATGTGCTGTGCCCTGCATGGGGTGAAGGAAGAACGAAAATGTGAATGCACACTGAGAAGAGGGAACAGAGATGGGGGAGAAAGAGGGAAAGCTTTCCAGGAAGAGAGTTTTTTAAATGGATGTTTTCTAATATTAAAAAACTAGCAAGAATTGTATCATGAATCACTCACTCACCATCTATCTACCATTTTGCCCATTCTTGTTTCTATTCTAAGAAACCACTTCCTTCTCCTTCCTCTCCCCACCCTCCCCCCGACCCCGCCTTTTTTCTGGAGTACTTCAAATCCCAGACATCTTATTCAAGGAGGATGAGTTCTAAGCAAAGTCTGAAAGCAGAGACTGAGACTGAAGCCCTTCTGCAGACCTGTGAAGCCCCTCGGTTCCTCCAGAGAGACCTTTCAGCCTGGACACTTGCCCTGCTGATTCTAGCTGCACATAGGGTCATTCTACTGCTACACGACAGCTTTAGTAAAGATAAATGTTTGCCCTCATGTGAATAAAACCGCTGGAGACTCAGTGGCTGACCCCAAAGACAGCAATGCTCATGCCTTGGTGAGTGCTCTGCCTCATCTTGGGGACGGGGGTCTCCAGGAACCATGGCACCTCTCAGGCTGTTTCTGAGAGCCCCTCTCTCCCAGGCCACTACTGGAAAGTAAAACACACAAAAACACCCACACATAAATGGTATATAAACAGTGATACCATTTCTTCCTATTACGAATGTGGAGTAATAGAGACCTTGCTCTAGGGTGCAGGTCCTTGGGTGCCAGGGTGCACCCTTCAAGTCTCTCTTCTGTACCTCACCCCATGTTGGAGTTTGCTCCCGGAGAAAGAAGTCTGGGCCCAGGGAGGAAACCTGAAAGAAAAAAATATTACTGTGCCAGAAAAAGAACAATTTCTAGATTGTCCTAACCACCATTTTACTGATTGTAACTTTTGAAGTTATTATACTGTTAGATTTTTTATTTAAAAACAAATAAGGATAAGGAAGGCTGGGAAAGAGGGAAGGGATAATTATGTGTGAATTGGTGAAAAGTCCTAATACTTTTTTTTTAGTACTTTTCAAGCATTTACTACTTATAAATATTATACATATAGCTAATAAAATATAGGTACTAAGAAGATAATCTAATTAAAAACATTTAACAGTCACAATAGATTCAAGATAAAGTTCTAAGTTTCATGTATCAGTTTATTTTTTGCTGTTGTTTCTTATTTAATAGATACTATGAGTATTTCATACCATATCCAATTGATCACAAATTACAAATCAGGAGTGTTGGGGGAACGGTCTGCCTCTAAGCCTCCCATCCCAGCTGCCTACAGCCCAGAGCATTCTTTGATGAGGAGGTTGGGAATTGAGTCACCTTCTCTTTCCCAGTTCCTTCTCCTTTTCAGAGAAGTCTTTCCCCTGTTTTGGGCACACAGTAACCTTCTCTGTCTTTTGCTCATGCACGGGCACTAGATGGCACCTGGCCAGTCCCACTTCTATATCTGTTCCCAGCGGGGAGGGAACGAGGTCTCTCCAGTCTACTGCACGAGAAGGGTGTACATAGGACATCTGCCCTGCACTAGCCGTATGCGGGGGGATCCTGCTGGCCATGGGAGATCGGTGGCCACTAGTAAAGCTGATCTTGCTTTGTCTCTTCTCTGTGATTAAAGCATTTACCCATGCACTAATGGTTGTGTGTGTGGTCTGTGTCTTTTGTGGGCAACCTCAAACCCTGGTACAAGGAGTACTGGGATTAATCAGGATTTAGTAGAGTCGCTATAAATTGGAATCAACTCGATGGCAATGGGTTTGGTTTTACTACATTTACTAACAATTTACTGTGACAGCATTGCGTTCTTTTTCTTCTGTGTTGTCTCCTTCAGTCAGAATAGAGAAAAACTTTTCTTCCCTGGTTATCTGTTTTACTATGCCAGCATTTCTGGGGTGGGATGAGGGACCCCAGAAGGTCATGATTCACAAGAAGCAAGTGACTGTCCCATGATCCCTCATTCTTTTTTTTTTTTTTTTTTTAATATTTTATTGTACTTCAGGTGAAGGCTTACAGAACAGATAGTTTCTCATGTAACAGTAGCACACATGCTG